CCGCAGCAGGCGCAGGCTGAGCGGCTCCCCCCGCAGCTTCTGCAGCGCCGCGCCGGCCTGCGCGACCGGGGAGGACGGTGAGGGGAGGAAGGCCCCGGAGGAAGACGCCCCCCGCGCGCGGGCCCACCTGCCCGTTGTACGCGTTCCGTAGCGACTGCCCGTTGATCTCGTCGAGGACGTCGCCGGCCAGCACCACCTCGTCCAGCTCTGCCTGGCTCTCCGGGAGCACCTCGGTGACAAAGACGCGGCCGTCCACGTACCTGGGGGGCCCCCAAGCCCCGGCTCAGCCCAGGGGGTTCCCAAGCACCTTCGGGTTCACCTACTCATCCAGGTAGGGAAAAGCAACCGCAGGAAAAGCGAAAAGCTGCCTACCTGAGCACCATTCCCAGCGCCCGGCACGGCACCGTCTCGTACGTGACGCACACCTGGAAGGGAGCAGCTGCTCAGAGTGGCCCCCAAATGAGAGGCGCCTGCTGAGGGGGCACAGGGAGCCCTTGTCTACGGTCTGACATTGAAGTTGCAGAATTGCTGCCAAATGGGGCCATGCAGAACCCCCCTAGCCTCTGCCCTGGGGTGCTACATTGGTCCCCAGAGCCACCAATTGTGCCAGCCCATCTTCCTCTCCAAGGAGGCCGCTCCTGAGTGACGCCAACATCCCGATCTGCTGGGTTTCAGCCGCGCTCAGCCTCCGGGAAGACAAACGCGCTGGGCAGAAGCGATCCGAGGGCAGGAGGCTCCGTAACGCAGCCGCAGCGCTGCCAGGCGAGCGCTGCTTCCGCTCCCCAAAGACCCCGCCGCTGCCAGCGCCACTTACTGTCACATCGTGTTAGCCAGGGGCCGGCTCAGCCGGGAGCCGCCGCGGCTGCATGAATCCCGATGGGACCCTCTGCCCCACAGCCCCTCTCTCCTGCCAGCTCTGGAGCGCAGCCAGCCCAGGGGCTGAGCGGGCTGCATGCACGGGGCAGTCAAAACGTGACACATCGGGCTGAGTTTTGGCATTTCTTTTTAACCCCGGGCAACAGAGAGAGGCTGTTCATTTTTTAAAGACATCAGGGCATCCCTGCCATTTGCAGCCTCTTCGTGGAAGAGAACCACAGGTGTTTAGCAGAGGAAAAAACAGAATGAGGCCTGTAGATCTGCCTTCTGCATCAGCCTGGAAAAACAGGACTTTTTGTTTGTTTGTTTTTTTTCTCCTTCTCCAGAAAGGAGGAAAGGGACATGGTAAGACTTGGTGCACCGTAGTGATTGAGACCTCACCCTCATTTGTTTTTTGGAGCAACTCCAGGATCTGCTCCTGGCGATGGGGCTGGCAGAGCAGGGCCCAGCCTTTAGCTGGTCCTTTCCTAATTTTTCAGCAAGGGCTGACCCAGGTGGGAGAAGGACGAATCCCACCCTGGCTCTGCTCTGCTGTCACGCAGGACAGAGGAACGAGATCTTACCGGCAGCAACCAGCTTTCATCCAAGAAACTGCAGTTCTGCAAACAAAGAGGAGCATCGCGCCGGCTCCAGCGAGGACGGGCCCAGGACTTGGCGCGAGCAGCTCCGAGGGGACCCACGAAGCCCCATTAGGGCTGCCGCCCGGGCCGATTTATCACCGTACCTGCAGATCCAGGGAGAAATTCATCTCTGTCACCACCAGCATTAGCGAGAGGAACGGCTCTGCGGGGGGAAAAAGGAGGACAGGGACAAGAGCCGGTGTTACTGCTGGCCTCGGAGCCGAGGCTCTGTGAGACCCGGGATGTGAGGAGGTGGGAGAGGTCAGACTAATCAAAGCAGTTTTCAGCCTGGTTAATAAGACCTCGGGGCGAAGTGCCTGCAGGGACTCTGCCAGAGCAGCTCCTGGACCGCGAGAATCCAGCAGCGCTCGAGCCTGGAATTTGCTCCACATCCAAGCAGGATCACAGCCTCACTTGGACCCACATCTTTCCCAGCCAGGATGGGGGCTCGTAGCAAACACTGCTGCCGAGCAGCTTGCCCCCATCTGTCCTCTTCAACGCGATGCTGCCTGCCCTCTCCTGAGCCAACACTGCAATTATCCCAAAGGATATTTGTAATCCGGTCACGCACCAGGAGCCCGGGGTGATTTATAAGCCACCTAGGTGGGATTTTAACACAGAGTTATCTGTCATAATCAAAAGATTAAAGGCATTCACCCTACCATGGTCCTCCAGGGAGCGGGGCCGTGGGGCACAGCTGATGTGTCCCACTCCCCCCCGCCAGCGCATCGCCAGGCGCCCGGGACGCTCACGCCAGGGCAGTCTGGGGCCTTGGGTTGGATTTAAAGAGAGTCACGTGAGCCACGGAGCCGGGCGAGCGGATGGTGGGCAAGGACCGTGGCCACAGAGGGGGCTGCACCCGGGAGGCTCCATGGGGCCCCTGGGGACAAGGGAGGGCCACGTCACCGATGTGTCCAGATGCACCTGCTGGTCGGAACCCAGCCAGGCCAGCAGTGCCTGCCCTCACCCTCCTAAAAATACATTTCACAGGAAAGACTCCGCAGGCTTCTCCCAAACCCAGGACCAGCACAACAGTCATGGATCCATCTGGAAATCCCTGCAGTTTCATCAGCTTTGGCTCTCCAACCCAGAACAAACCATCTGTGTTCCAGACTCTGTGTGGCAACCTGGAGATGCTACTGGATTTTGGAAGAAGCCTTGGTCTTACCCATGAGGTCTTCATTGCCGAGAATGGAGCTCGCGGGGTCGTAGAACTGGAGGGCAGGGAAAAGCCACGGTTAAGTCACCGCTTCGACCGACTTCATGCCCCACAGCAACTGCCCACGAGCCCTGTCGCACCTCGAGGAGCAGCGGCGTCGCCACGAGCTGCCGCACAGCGGCCGCCAGCAGCTTCCCGGCGAGAGCCACGCGCAGGAAGAAGCGGCCGCGTCCCTGCGCCGTGAGCACCTTGGCGCAGCTCCCGGCCCTCTCTATGCCCAGGGACAGGGCGCTCGGGCTA